CCGAACCAAGAAGGAGCAAAAGACTATCAGACTTGAAAGCTAAGTTAACTCATGATAAAAACGTAATCTAAAGCTTTTAGTGTTTTCTTCATTTTCAAAGAATGAATTTACTTTGCCTTTATGGACTTTAATTTATTGTTCTGATTGGTAAATCTCTTTAGTAAATCTCATTAACACAGTTTTAAGTACTCCATTTAAGTCCCAACTTTAGCTGCCTCAAGACTTTCAAGTTTTATTTCAAGAACGGGTCTTTGATCTACTACTGCCTCAAATTCTTGTGTACTATCAACTCACATGGTTTTTGCAAGGGGCTTTCCTGATATTGTCCATTCAGATTCAATAGATTATTTCATTCAGAGATATACATGTTTGTAACTAAGGGAGCAACGATGTGATTGTATAAGCCTCTCTGGATTTTGAGAACATGAAGGGCACTAGCACCAATGATGTATTCCTTGTCTGTTTCTTCATGGAACTCTCGTCTGAGCAGTATCACAACCATTATTTACTTTCTCTTGTATTTTGTATTTGTCCACTAATGTATGTTTAGATTGCTCTGTATACTCTAGGACAGGCCAACTTGTAGGGGTCAGGGCCGCCCCCACCCTTTGTATTTTCTTTTTATTCAATAAAAAATCTTTCTTAATATATATATATATATATATATATATATATATATATATATATATATATGACAAATGGCTTTTCTAGAGAGAAGGAGGAGCGGTGGTTTTGGGGCTGTGTGTCATCGCCGACCTTCCTCCTTTAGCGATATACCTAATCGTCGGAAAATATATAATGGTCGGACAAGATATTCTACACGCTATGCCCGATGTGAAGCATTCCATAGGAAACACAGATTTCATCTTCTAGAGACCAACTTTCAGCAACGATTGAGTGGAAGGCCGTTCAAGAACCCCCTCCCTAAAGACAAGCGTGGCCAATACGTTTACAGTTACTCCAGATTATGCTTTAATGGAATTAAAGAGTGTTCTATGGCAAACACCCGAAACATCAGATTCAATTTCCAAACACATAATAAGGTATTTGAGCTCTTTTATTCCTTCTACAATCACAACTTCTGCATTTCTGATTTTGGAGCAAGAAGATATTGCATCTGGTTTGATTTGGAAACTGTTAATTGGATCCTGGGTTCTCTGCCATTTTTTTCGAAGCCTAACTGTTGGGAAGTATCCAAAACAGAGGACAATAGGACCATTTATCTTTCTAGTGGTAGCAATAAAAGAGGTAAATTTGTGAAAATCCAAGAGATTAGAAGAGAGGGTAGTACTTTCCTAGCTATCCCCTTTGATTCATTCGCTGATGGCCCAAATCTCTTCACCAAGGCTCTCTCCTTATTCACCAAGAGAGCTACCAACCTTGAGGAAAGCTCTAAGGTGTGTGTGCTTGTGGAACCCCAGGAACCTCTGCACCATTCTCCCACTGGAAGTGCAGCTTCATCGCTGCCTACAGCAGAGTCCACGCTGAATGTTTCCTCTGGGTCATCTCTTTCCCATGCGGCCTTCCGGCGCTTCCAGATTCTTAAATTTGCTATCCGAGCCTTGCGGTGTGCACGTTGGTAGCGCTCTTTTGAATCGTAACTTTGCCTCTTGTTCTTTCGTCTCTTACCGAGCACGAAGGTTCGACTGGAGTCAATGCTTGACACGCTTCCGGTACTCATGGTGCTCATCTAACAATCGTAGAGTATCAAAATGGGAACAAGTGAGCGCATAACACAATTAGTTTGACGCTTCATTGTGCGCTCACGTACTCAGGCACTCCTATGTATATCTACCTATCCGTCATTGCCTACTCCTTGGCTCATTTTCTATAAGAAGAGCTAAAATCATAACTAATTACAATATGATGGGAGATGCGGCTGTGGACTTTTTGAAAATACCCTTTGACCAAAATGACAAAATATGTTTTTTTTAAATTTTCTTCACAAAACCGAACTTCTCTGATACTAAAATGTAACACCTGCCTTCCGTGGACCCGGTTCACCCGCGACCCAACGAACTGGTAGGGTTACATGGGCGGTCCGAGAACCGTCCGTAGAGAAAAACGCATTAATGTCTATTTATTGTGTAACGGTTGAGTTTAATTGATGAAATAAATGCTAGGGAGTCAATCCCAAAACGTTTGTGATTTAAATGCAGAGTAAAAGCGGAAGTAAATATATAAGTCCAAAATAAGTAAAACGACATTTGATGGGTTCATGCCCAAATGACTAATTAATTCAAATGATTATAATTATTAAACTCGTCCATGTGCCGCCCATCTTCCCATCATCACTGTCCTCAGGGTTAGCACTTGTACCGTCATATCTACCTGCGTGTAGCAAAAACAACTACACGCTCAGCAAAAGCTAAGGAGTGATAACAAAAGAACATGAAGTGATAACCCATATGATTATACACATATTAATATATGTACTTAACGTACGGAAAACCACATGTTTACCAACTGATTAATTTGCACTTGATGGGATACCATTACA